TTCTGGCTCGCCTGTAGCCCTACCGAACAATGTTCTAAGAATATTTTGTGGTTCCCACGCGATGGTCTTAGAACATGTCTGGCGGAGTCTGTCTTGCTTTAACACATCGGGTTTATGTTGTAAGAACATTGTTCTTGTCATTGGAACATTTCCGGGTTCTAGGAACATTTCGTGGTAGGACTATAGGAATGCTGGGACGGTCGGTCCTTGCTCAAGTATCGGTCGCGACCGATTTGCTTCAAAATTGGTTGCGACCGGTCGCTCGCGACCGATCGGTGGCGATCGGTGGCGACCCATCGCGACCGAGTTGGGGGGTCGGCCGCGATCGGTCGCGACCGATTTATGGGGTGCCGATCGGTCGCTACCGATCGCGACCTAAAACAGTCAGTATCTCATACAGTCGGCCCGGCTTAGTAGGTCGTCCCTGCCAAATCAAGGGTACCGTTGTGTCTTGTGTCTGACGACCCATGCCTCCTGCATTCCTGTGGCAATGTGGCCCTCGGAGGGGTCTTTTGTCCTCTCGCGTGTCCTGTCCAATGAAGTTCGACTGTAACCTGAGTTAGTCGGGGGCGGAAAAGAGGGGGGTGATGACTAGGGGGGGGTGGATGTCATGGCGGGGGCCATGATATTTCCCCAGATTCCATGGCGCCTCTTCTTATTTCATTACGTCCCTGGCCTCCCCGCTGGGCCGCGCACATGCCACCGGTCATGATTTGCACCCCCCCCTCTTGGACACCCCCCTCTTGGCCGCTCCCGAGTTACGGGGAATCGGTTCGGAAGGGGGACTTATCGACCCCCGAGCGCCCATTGACCGCCGACTAGGGACCGATCGCCCTCCCCGACCAGGACCAGGCGGATGCGCTATCGAGGGCCTCTCCCCGTCCTGCTGGCGAGGTGTCGCCGGCTCCAGGTCGGCCCCCTCGTCAGGCAGCTCCCCTGCCGGCGGCGAGCGAAGGGGGGGGGGCGAGAAGGAGGCGGCCTTCTCAGAGGGTCCGGAAGTCCCCAGGCCTGTTGTCGGGTGTCGCTGGAAGTGCCCCTGGGCCAAGGTGCCACCAGAACTCTCGGGGTAGCCCAAACGGCCTCCAGAGCACCCCTCACGAAGCCGAGAGGGCCCTAGGGGCTCCAAAATGGAGCGAAAAGCTGGGGGCACCTTGGGCCAGGGGTACTTCCAGCAACACCCGAATTTTCATAAGTTTTCGAAGCTTTCCCCGAAGTCAAAGACACTTTTCAGAAGTCCCGCCGCCTTCTGAAAAGGCCTCCTTCTTTCCGTTTCCCCCTCAGCGCTCGCCGCGGAGCCGTCTCGTTGCTTCTCGGGAGGGACGGGGGGATTCAGATGGTAAATAACAGAGGTATCCGCTCGTCTTGGGCTGAATTCGCATCGGCGAATAACGCCTACTTGCGCCTAATAGCTCCCAACAGCGCCCAGCAGCGCTCAAATGGCGCCCCATCGCGACCACTAGCGCCCAACATCGCCATGTGAGAGAGACTCATTACGCGCGATCTGCCGCTGGCCGCGGTATTGGGGCCATGGGGGCCACGGACAATTTCCTGAGTTGCTGTAGAAGATGTCTACGTGGACATTTCTGGAGTTGGGCCCCGGGCGGCGAATCCGATGTACATTGGGCCTCGAGTTGCCGCGCGAGGCCTCCAGGACTTTCCTCTTAAAGAAGGGGCCGGGATGTGGAGCGGAAGAGCGCGGGAGGGATGCGCAGGGGGGAGGGGAAGTAAAGGCGATGCCGATAGCGCTCTGGAGAACTGGCAGACCTGGCGCCTCAAACATCGCACGCCGCTGAGCCCCCCAGCCCGCAGCAGGCGCGTTCCGCATCGATGCCCGGACTGCCGCCACCAAAGATGGACGTGAATTCATTTCTGAAAAAAAGGTCGCCCAACCTGCATCTTGGATTTATGATGTTCCAACCTACTTTAGCCTTGGTCACCAGAAAGAATCTCGAGCACCAGAAAAGTACCCCCAAACTCGAGGGTTTTCACGTGCCTGGCCCTGGGAGACACTCGTCCGACACTGTTTCGACACTGCTTCGACTCTCTTTCGACACTTTCCTGGGTGCTGGAAATTATTTCTGGGATGTGGTCCTTCAGCACGATGGGAGCAACATGGTCTTTAAGCACGATGATCGCGCGGACACTCGGGCGCACGCAGCCCGCGCAAGGCGACGGGCGGGCACCTTTCTTTCCACTTCGTGCGCCGCGTTGCCGGCCTGCCTGCGTGAGCCATCGCGCAATGACGCGCGATGTCCTCAGACGGCATTGCCGTTCTCCTTGTCGTTGAGGTGGCGCTCCATTTGCACCCGTTGGTCGAATATGCAGCCGTTTCGGCGCGTTTGGTCGAGCTTAGCTGCGGCCCTGGTTGGCTCTTCTCATCGGCGATGCTCACGATGCGACGGCAATCCCATGGCTGCCCTCTGAGCTTGCGTGTAGCTCCGCTGCTCTTCGTGTACGCGTCCAGCATTGATATGTGCAGCCTTGTTGGAGATAATTTTGTGTTGAAGGCTATCTAATGGCTTCCTGCCCATCCCGCGACCGTGCCTGGGTTGCGGGTCAGAGTCCGCAGGGATGTTTTTCGGGGCCTCTTCGGAACGCTTTCGGGGGACTCTTGGGGGCAGTTTTGGGGGCCTCTTGGGAGCTTCTAGGGGACTTCTTAGGAGCCTCTTGGGGGCCTCTTCGGGCCTTCTGGGCGACTCCTGGGGGCTCTTGGTGGCCTCTTGGAAGCTTCTAGGGGCCTGGCAGAAGACTTCAAATATCCATTCGGGTCCCTCATCGGGGCCCCCTCTTGGAGCCGTCTTGGAGGCATCCTAGGCTCTCTTGGGCGCATCTTGGGCCATTTGGGGCCCCTCTTGGGCCTCTTAGGGGTCCTCTTGGGGGCCTCATGGGCCGTCTTTGGGCGATCTTGGTGGCCTCTTGGGCCGCCCTGGAGCGTCGGGAAGCCGAACTGGCGAGAGCGCCAACATCCTTCAAACACCAACGGGAAATCACTGATGTGTGTTTCTTGGGGTCCTCTCGGGAGGCCTCTAAGAGGCCTCTTCGTGCGTCTTGGAGGCAGTTTGGGCCGTCGTGGGGCCATCTGGCTGGGCCTCTTGAACGGATCGTGCAGCGATTCGGTTCCCTGTTGGACCGTCTTGGTGGCCTCTTCGGGCCCTCGTGGCCCGTCTTGGGGCCTCCGTTGGCCCGAAAAAGAGGCATTCGACAAGAGGCCCTGGTTCCCAGGGGCCACGCGGGGAGCCCCCAGGGATCTGGCAATCTCGGGTCCGGGCCATCGAGGAGGGCCGGGGGCTCCGGGGGATCCAACAAGAGACCGGAGGACAGTCCCACTCGTGCCTCAGGGGCACGGTGTCGGATATGCCAAACGTTTGCAGGCAGCAGTAAGCAGACGGACCTGGCGACGGCGGGTCTTCAGGTCATCGGCGCTGGTGCCGGCCGCACTGGCACAGCGTCGCTGCAAGTCGCGTTGGACATATTGGGCTACAATTGCTACCACATGCGGGAGGTGTTGATTAATGGCGACAGCAGCGCGTGGATGGGTCTCCTTACGGGCAAGATTGGTGTCGAAGACATCGTGTCGATGCTGGTGCACGACGGTTTTACCGCCACAGCTGACGATCCAGCAAGCGCGTTCGCGCTCGAGTTTGTTGAGCACCTCCCGGATGTAAAAGTGATTTTGACAACGCGCACAGACCCAGAGAAGTGGTTAGACAGTCTTCAGCAGCTTGCAACCTTTCGGAAGGTAAGCTCATGGTTGCCTTTCGCGATCATTCCCCGGTTTGTGAACTTCGGAAACATGGCCGTGTTTTACCATGCAAAGCGAGGTTATGCATTTGACCCGGATTTTTTCAACCGTTCGGTGGCCCTACAGTGGTACAACGATCATAACGCAAATATCCGAGCCAGAGTACCCAAGGAGCGGCTTCTGGATTTTCAAGTGACCGATGGGTGGGAGCCGCTTTGTTCTTTCTTGGGGAAGCCGATTCCTAAGATTCCTTTTCCACGCGTGAACGACAAGGACGGCTTCAGTTTTGCGATTGCTTTTCTGGAGTGTCTTCATTTGGTCATACTTGCCGCGTCGGTGCTGATCGTTGCTTGCGCCATGGTTGCATGCTGCCGGGCTGGAAGGCCCAAGGTTAAAGTACATTGATTAATAATGACCGCGCA